TAGTCCAACATAAAAAAAAAAATTATAGGGTCCAAGGGATGTTTGCAACCCATAAATTAAATATGTGTTTTAATATACTGAATATGCTCTATGGTACATGTAAGATACAACGTGTTTACAACCTCATTACTTAAAAAAGCAAAATATTTGAAGAAACACTGCTTTTTTTAGCTGATATTAATCTGATTTCCGTGCGCACCCCTTAAGCTGTCTGAACTAGAATGAGAAATGCTGGTTTGCAGTACTAGTATATTATCAACTGTTGCAAGTTAAACAAGTAGCGTTGATTCAAATTAGTATTTCTGGCAACTGTAAAGAAGGATGTGTTTTGAACTGCCTCTTAATTTAATTCCATACCAAAACCACGTGTTTTAGTTTACATTTTTCCTGTTCACTTTTAAAAATGATAATTATTTGACAGACAAAAGTGGTCTCTGGGATAAGAATTTGCTGTAGAAGGTTTTATATTCCTCTTATGCTTGTAGGCAGCTAACTTGCAATGTGGAAAGGAGAGTAATTTAACATGGTGTAAGGGACTATAATGGCAGCAAGAGAGGAAAAAATAAGGGAATAATTATGGCTGAACAGCAAGGGAAAAATCCTTGCCATTGAGATCTATTATTCTTGAATAAGCTCTCCAGCTCAAGGTGGGAGTCCTTTCCTTGGCGAATTTTAAATCTAATCTAGAGAAAGCAATGCAATATATTGCAGTGAATGATCTTGTGCTAAAGGAGGATGGATTACGTTTTTTAATTCTTTAATTTTTATGTACCATGATGTGCTATCTGTAGCCTATTCGTATGTTATCTGTAGCCTTTTCTTTATTGATGTCCTTAAGATTTTTAAGTAAAAGGTGGATTTTAGAAAGAGTAGATGGAAGTCAAAGCCTAGGTGTAAAAGGTATTTCTCATCATTCTTTGCCAATTGGGTGTGATGCCTTCTATTAGCAGCCAAATGCCAGTTGAGAAGAGACTAGAGTATGCGGAAAATCTGTGAAAATATTTCTCCCTTGGAAAAGGCCTTGGAAAAGAAACAAAACGCTCAGAAAAAGGTGTTTCTCCTTTGATATTTTAATATTGCTTTAGGAAAGACTGAAAAAATAATCGCCTTCCACTTGCCTTTTGTACAAACAATTGGTTTTTATTTTTTTTAATGAACTTTTCTAAAACTATAAGAAGTTGTAAGGAATTAGGGGAAGGGGGAGGCTTTTGAAATTAACTGCCAACATACTACCAATATTTTGTTGAGCAGTCGTGCTAATCAGGCTGTGTTGTACCACCTGATACCTTTTAGAAAGGTATCAGGACTAGAACCTACTTATGGTTCTGGACGCTCCTCCTCACGGAGGCAGCGCACATCTGAAGCAGCCCCTTTCCAGATGCATCAGGAATGACCAGGATTGCGGGGATATGCGCTGGTTTTTCTGTCTATATCAATGTATGTGTATGGCTCTGGGGAAAGGGGGAGGGATGCTGGTAAGACAGGGCAGTACTGAGGATGGCTGGAGAGAATGGTCCGAATCCTTCAGTTAAAGTTCTGGCCTAGGAATTTTCAGGATTGACTTGGCCTTATCTCAGCAATGGTTTATAAGTTGCTATATAAAGGTTATAAAGAGCCTTGCAGTTTAGTAAAGCTAATTGTCTATCTTTATTGTAGGAAAAAGTGGCTGTAGTGTAGTTCCCATGCTCTTCTGTGCAAACGCTTTCCTTTCTTCCCTGTGTTTCATTTGAAGGATGCTGTTATGCCCTACCAACCACTGATACGACGGCAATAGATTCTTGTCTTTTCTGTTCCAGTGAACGCACAGTGCTCTCATAGTGGGATGTAGCTGTGTTGGGCAATCCAGGGAGGTTTTCTACAAGCATATTTTCAAGTGCTTTTGGAAGCATTACTCAGACTACTTCAAATCAGTGTATAAAGGGAGCTAATGCCTCCACTAAAAATATTTTTAGCCCTGTTCCCCTAGGCTCAGACTTCCTTAATTTTGGCTGTCTTTGTCCTCTGAAAGTCTGTGCTGAGATACTGACTGCATGGGGCAGCACCTGCCAAGGTCATGGCAGAAGAGGCAAGCCACATATTTTTGAGCAAGGATAACAATGATTCCTCTTCTGTGGAAGAGAACAAAGGCCATAGCTGCCTTGACAATCTGAGCTCAAGCAGCCAGCCAGAAACCCCAAAGACTGGCTTTCCTCCTTACTTCCTTCCCCCTTAAAAATGTTGATTTCTTTTTTTTTTCCCAAAAATGCTTTTTGATTGATAGCAATTAAATGCACCAATAATGCTTTAGACAAGGGCTACCATGATTGCTATTTACTGATAAAGAAATGGGTGCAGAGAGATGAAGTCATTTGTTTACCACTCCACAGTAAATCAGGAATAAGAAAGGCAGCACCGAGAATCCTTGTTGAGTCCCTGACTCTTGTTCACTCCTGCATGTTGGAAGGAACGCTGCACGCTGTCAGCACGGTAGCATTTAACCCTCCTTCTGTGCCAGTGTAAATGAGGTTGCAAGGTGGTAGGTGGTGGAGGACAAGGCCTCTGATCTGCAAGAGCGAGGATGTTCAGGTGGGGAGCAGATGATGACAAATAATGAAATTAGAGCAAAGGAAAGATTAAATTAAAACATCAAGAAAAACTCAATAATGGTAAGATTAACTGCAGTATAACCTCCTACAGGAAGCAGCAAAGGCAGAGCGTTTTAATTATTTAAAACAGGACTAAACATAGTTTTGGGTAACATTACAGCGCTGGAATAAATGACTATAAGCTGGTGCAGCTACTGAGGGCTTAGCCACAGCCCTAATATTCCTAGAATGTTGTAGGTTTCTAAGGACGCTATTGAGTTAACGCATCAGCCACCTGAGCCCACTCTAGAGACTAGTAGGCTAGGAGCGCTAACAAAGCAGATTGCTAGCTCATATGTGTAAGTCAGCATGTAGGCCTATTTATCTATATATACATGTATGTGTCTATTTATTTATATGTGTATGTGTGTATGTGTTTATATAAATATTACATCAGGTTAGATTATGACAGATGTTAAAAAAAAGTCATCCCTTTTCTGAATCAGCCTCAAACATGCGTTGAGTAGTTTTTAACTCTAGTGTTGGTGAAATCAGTGTTCAGAAATGGGGCACTTGAAATGTTTCCATATTATCTAGAAGCTGTGGGGGGCTAGGTGCCTCGCCATTCCTGGGTGTGGTAGGGCCTTGAGGAGGCGTTTGCGCATAACTACAATAATCATCCAGACAGTGTATGACGAATTAAAAGGTGGGTGACTTTGTTCCTCACTCTGCCCTTCATGAATCACACCTCTTATGAAAAGGGGCCTCAAGAAAGGCAGAATGGAAGAAAAAAGTTACTCTTCTTATGGGGGTAAAAATCAGTTATGTTTCAGGGCCATGTATTTCCTTACACTAAATAATTCCTAGAAGGATCTCAGAAGGAGGTGCTAGGACTGACCACAGCTTAGTTGGAAGTATTAGCTTCTTGGCAGTACCACACAGTGTTACTTCCAGTTTTGGTTGACTAGAAGTGTGTGACCTTTCCCAAACTAAGTGTAGAACTGCAAAAAGAAAATGCTGTCTCTACCACACTTTATCAAATGTTTTCCAAACTCCAGTACTGCTCCCTCTTCTCAAGTGGATGAGTGCTGTAGATCCTGTGCTGGGACTGGAGAACTAAAATTGCTGACCTAGTCTACCCCTAAAATCAGTGCAACCCAGAAGCCATTGATGAGACAACTGGAGCTCTAAGACTGTGAAAAAGCCAAATACCTCTCTGTCCATGCAAGGTATTTGGCTCTGGGGTTAATTATTATCAAGTATAGATCCAGACATTATTTGGCTACTATTTACAATGGGCTGTATGTCCAGTGCTAGCAAATAAATATATATAGAAAACAAAAATAAAAAAGCATGGGCATACGTTATAAGAAACCTCTGTTAGACTTATGAGCGCTTGATGCAGTTGAGTTCAGTGCTTTCTCATTCTTTGCCATTTGTGTGTACAGTATTAAAAAAGAGTCCTACCTTTTTTTTTTCCTTTTTAAAAATACAGAACTGGTAGTCTAGTCACACTCTTACAAGTAAGTGATAACAAAAATAGGAAGCAGATACCCATGTGGGACTAAAACTCTACTAAAGCCTGTCTTTTTTTTTTTTTTTCCACAAGTATGTTTTCACAGACAATAATTAGCAGACAAACACACGTTTGCAATTGCACTGTATTGACTTAAAAGGCGGATACAAAATTGTCTAAATAAAGAATGCCATCCAGGGTGAAATGGGGGGGGGCGTGTGTGTGCGCGCATGTGCACGTAGATGTGCTGACACATGCTTGTATTTTCCTACTGTGCACCCAATCATGGAAACATGCTCTGCTCTTTGTAATTCAGTGTTGCTCTGATGTGGTTCTGCTGCACACTCACACGCACACACACAGGGGAATGGAAATAGATTTCTGTGACAGGTGGCTTCTTTGTCTAAATCTTTTCCTATAAAAGAAAAAAAAATGTGAAATTTTGGTTGGTTTAAAGGTTCTGCTCCATGAAGAAAAAAAAATTCACAAAATCCATTGTTTTTCACCTTTTCAGTCATTTCCTCATGAATAAATATTATCCATTAAAAACCTTTAGAAAGGTGCTGCGATACACAGTGTTATATTTCCGTTTGCTCTATTGACTCTCTTGTTGCCATGATGATTCTTTCCCTCCAGCCTCCACGGCTGATTTTTTGCCCTGTATCATGGCACAACATGCTCTCCATGCAGGTTTTCCCTTTAACCAGCCTCTTCACCTCTTCCTCCCTTTCCTAATCCTTCCTCAGTCCACAGCATGAATGTGAGTCTGAAGAAAGCTGCCTCATTAGGTCTCCATTGCTAATTCGATGACAAAATGTCAGGTTGGTCCATCCAGGCACAATTTGCAGCAAGAAAGGAACATGGAGGTGTGGAGGGAGAGGGGCACTGGTCTTCCAGCCTCCTTCTGTGCATGAGACGTCTTACAAGGCAGAGACCTTGACTATGTTGCTTGTGGTGGTGGTGGAAATGTTCGTGGAGTGGCCGGGGCTGCTGGGCGGAGGCCTACTCTCACCTTCTGGCGTGAGTGCCGGCGGCGTGGGGATGCTGATGATGGCTGTTGTTATCTGGGCAGTTTTGCAGTTCGGTCTCAGCCCATCATCTGATTTCATGTTGAGACTGGAACGACTAGAAAACAAATTTAGTGTTTGGCTTTTTTTTTTTTTTTTTTTTTTTTTGGCTAAACCAGGCAGTAGAAAAGATGGAAATGGTAGTTGTTCTTAATCAGTATCTTATTCCTCTGAATTAAGGGCACTGAAATATTCAGAAGACTCCACTATAGTGTTCCCCCCAGTTCCTGCAAGGCATCATTTCTACCCACTAAGCTTTTTTTATATTCCCCCTGGTTAGGATACAGCTTTTCACAGGGAAAATGTTTCCATTTCATTCTTGCATAATTCTAGTTTAATTAAGAGGACATCTAAATATAGGGTCCTGTGTAGTGCATCTTTTCAGAGCACAGGTAGTTCTTTCTGAGAAAGAGATGTTGTCTTCCTTGCATTTCAAATGCCTCTTTCAAATTTACTGTCCCTTGATCTTTTCTGTTTTTTCATCTCTCTGCAGTAGTTTCAAGGATCCAGCAGCTGGGAGCATTCTTATTAGAACTGCATCAATTGCATCCTATAATTAATTAGAGAGGGAAAATGATAGGTTGGTTTCTGTGCGTCTGCACAGCTACAGGAGTCTGCTATTACCAGCCCAACATGTTCATTTTAAACACAAGACCTGTCCTTTTAGAATCTAAAGCTCCCAGTTGGAAAGCTATTGCTGTTGTTATCTCAGAGTGACTCACCAAGAGGATGTTTCTTGATCGCTCAAGCATCCCAAGAACACGGCAGAACCCATTCTGCTCCCCGGTTGCCTCAGTCACAAGCTGAGAGTGGGGCAGTCTTAGGGACTGGGTGGTTCTGCCAGTGGTAACCAGTACACCCAGTTAGTTGCATTCCACATGAAAAACAACTTAAAAGCTTTTTTCTTTCTCCATTCTTACACAGTTTGGTAAGCAAGTGAAATAACAAACAGTGTTGACATTTAAAATATCACTGCCATCTGATTTAGCACCCACTGAAATAGGCAGAATAGTTGACGTTCCCCTGAATTACTGTTTCAGGTGCTGGTTTAAATTACTGTCATCTTGAAAATGCAATAGCCAGAGACTTGTTTTGTGCTTATTCATTCATAATTCATTCTCTGAAATGCCCTTCTGACTTCATCCTGGCACAAAGTAACCGCTTGCTGCCCTAAAGGCAGCTTTGTTTCAGTTTACAGATCCTTTTGATAGGAGTGGGGATGAGAAGAATGGCAAGTTCAAGAACAGCCCAGTGCACCAGAAGCTTAATGGGCTGAGGGAGATTTAGAAACCAATTTAATATTTGCAAGAAAGCTATGGTGAAGAAATTAATATTTCAGCAAGTCATGTATAAAATGAAAATTTCACAATTTTCTATTGAGACACTTCTTCACCAGTGTCACTAATGGATTTTTAGGTGATTCTTAGCTACTAAGACACCGTTGTGAAATTCCTCCTCATTTGTTTCCCAGTGATGCTTGATGCTTACAGTTGTGATTTAGACTTTTGGACAATGAAAATCAGTGAAGTGAATGTCTCTGGTGGACCATGTCAGTGTGTACAGCTCTCTAACAGCTTTTGCTGACAGACACTGATTAGCCAGTTGTCTTTGCCGTCTCCCAGTAAGGGCTTGGAAGTGCTGGGCTATCTGGGAAGTGGGCTGTGAAGTGGTCCTGTGCCAGCTTTGGTGAGTGGCTCACAGCTAGGAACTGCTGTCTCCTGCCTGTGTGATTAGCACTTTGTAGGCAGGTTTCAGCTGGAAGTCATTCTTCTATGTCCAGTCTGGCCAGAGAAGAGCTGCACTAGGCTCTAGCTTTGGTTCTTCCCAGAACAGATAGAAGCCCTTTTCCTTGGGTTGTCATTAGAAGGAGGGAAACAAAGATGCTCCCTGCACTAGACCCCTCCCCCCGGCTGGAGAACAGGCCTGCAAGAACGTTCTGTTGGATAGTGCACTTCAGAGGTTTGCATGCAGTAGTTAGCAGCAAGAGCCTACTTACTGTACCTTGTTGTAAGGGAGGGCTGCTCACTGCACTGGATGTGGATGGTGCTGAGCTCCTGCATACTCCGGAGGCGAGTGGCTGGCACACTGGAGTTGGGAAGGTGAGTGGTCTTCTTGTTACGGCGAGAACAGCAGGAGGTGGTCAGTCCATGGTGACTTGACAAGGAGGGGCTCCGAGAAGAAGGATAGTTTTGCATTGAGCTCTCCATGCAGTTCTGCTCGAACATTTGCTCATCTATGAACTCGTGGTTCTGGCAGAGAAAAGAATAGTGCCGTTACTCTCTGGTGACACCAACAGCTTTGGCCTGACAGCAGTTTGTTTTCAACGGCACCTTTTGCTAGGTTGGTGGGATGTGTCAGCCCCTTGTCTGTGTAAGATGCTCTCTGCCTCTGTGCCTGCAAATATTGGCACTAGGCAGGTCTTTAAAAGAAACGACTCTGCACTTCCACTCTGCAACTAAGAGAAGATTTTGCTCTCCTGCATCAGTAGGGGAATAAGGGAAGCTGTTGCAGTGACAAAAGAATGATAGTCTGTCAATGCTGCCTTGCTTATGTAGTCTGAGGTGGTTAATATATTGTATTTGAATTTCTTTTCATTTTTGTGTCTGGATTCCAGAAGTGGCTTCCAAAAGTCTGCAATGCCGTATGGTTATGAAACCCAAGAGGAGATTTAGGCTCCTTTTCCTTTGTCCCTGGGGACAGGATTGTGTTGTGTTTGGATTGACCATCTTGACATACAGCTTAATTGCAGGACATTGCTTGTATCGGCTATGGGGCGCAAAGCATACCTGCAGTTCTTTGGGTGCTATTAGTTGAGTGGAAATAAATGTGGCAGGTGAGAGTGGGGAATGTATAGGGGAAGGAATTCAGAAAGCTGAGTCTGTAAAGAGTTTTTGTGCTAAGGAACAAGAAATCCTGAAAGAAAGAACCCTTATGTGTGTATATGAACACCCAAGTAGTTCTAGTGAACAGGCTTTATCCAGTCCCTGTCAGCATCAGAAAGGATGGGAAACAAAAGCAACCATGGTGAAGGCAGCCATCAGTTTTCATTGAAACAACTAACAACTCTCACAGGAAACAAGAGCACTGGATAGCCAAAAAGAGCCACGTGCACAAACTCCCAAGGACAAGACCAGGAACAAGAAAGGAAACAAACACTCTCTAGACACGTCACAGAGACCATAGAGAAAACAGATTGAATTAAAAAGGAAATACCTTGATGGTGGAAGTTCGTACAGATAACAGGGGATCATCCACAAGATAGGACAATCCCTACGGGACAACATGCCAACAAAAGATAAAAACACAATTGATTGTCCATTCCGGCATTCAGAAGTTTAGTCCCAGCATTGCATCTATTGCCTCAGCATTCCAGCTGGCTCACTCAAGTTTGAATGGGCAACTGAACCTTCTCTTTACCAAACCTTGCCTGAATCAGACCCCTTTGTTCCTTCCTTCTCACACTTAAGCTTTTTTAACGTTATGTTCTTCTGAACAAAACTGGTTACAACTTTATTACTCTGATCTTTTGAGAGCAGAAGGCAAAGGAAAACAAAGTTTCAGCTGCTGATTCACAAGTAACGAATTGGAATTGTATTGCCATTGGGTCACCAATGGATGTGGGTTGTGATCATACTGTGGAAACACAGAAGAAAGGTTTGGACTGAAGGACTGGATTCGATGTGTTCAGCATTTGAAGAAAACATGGCATATGAATGTCCATACTCAATCTGGGAGTTGGAACGAGTGGAAAAAAAATCCTTTTGTTTGAACAAACTCCATCTGTTGTGTTAAAATGACAGAGTAACCTCCGTTATGGCAGCTAGAAGTACTTTAGGGTCACTTTGTCATCTGACACACCAGATTTGTGAGCCATTCACAGCCATTCAATTGTAAGGCTGTATGCTAGTGATGACCACAGATACCATGGCAATAAATAATGTAGTTTTAGAATCCTTTTGCCTAGCTTAAGGAAAGGTGAATTGCCCATTGAAACAAGTTTGCAACCATGGTACATTTCTCATTCCATTCCTGCAACTTGGTCAACAAAATGACTCTTCAGTGCTTAAAAATTCTTCTATTACGATTTAAATTTTTGGGAGGATAACTATTGCATAGGATTTTAATAGATTATATAGAACTAGAGAATATCCACACAAGCTGATTGAACTATTTTGATTGATAATTTCAGACCAGAATCCAAAATTGATACGTGATTTGATTCAACATCATGGTAATAACTGGCTGAAAAATGTGGGGGAAAACACATTAAATGTTGTGTAGATTTTCCCTCTAGGTTTTCATCAAAATTCAAAGTATGACTGTTATTGCCGTTGTTTGCTGAAAAAAGCAACGTTTGGAACATTTTCAACCACTGAGACTCACTGAGTAGGCTTGACTGCTGGAGGCAATCTAGCTTTGTTAGTGTGGTAGGCTAATACATCCACAAATTAGGATACGCTTTGGCCATGTTACTTCCAGCACCCTAACTGGCTCATTAGTAATGGAGCAACTGATGGAGCAGCTCCCAGAGATGTCCACCCGCCCTGTGTAGAGGTCAGAATTTCTATAAGCCTTTACAAAGTCAAGGCCTTATTACAAGGGCAGGCCCTGGAGGCAGGGCTGTCAGCTTTTGTTTGCTTCAGCCAATTTGTTGAAGTTTCCAAATGAAAGTATGCTTGAGAAATATGGGTCATAGTAGTGAAGCTTTTAAGCATAAAGTTCTAAACTAAAGAGTCAGATTGTGAAATATCTGCTTGTTATGTAACATTCAAATTGCTAGAAATAAAGGCAAGATGAGTCTTACAAAATAAATTCAGTAGTCATTGATACAGGAAGAATCAGTTCATTGTCCTTGGAATGGTGACCTTTATAGCTCATTGTGATAAGCCAGCTGTACTCAGCAGGTCACTGTAATTAACTGGTCATCTTCTTCCAGTGTATCGCTGAAGCCTAAGTGATGTTATTCCAGCATAAGCCAAACTATGGAAGTGAAGGTGATTTATCTAAAACACAGCTCTTGCAAGTCAGAAATCAAAAGTACATTTGATGATGGATGCAGATAGAAAAAGGCATGAATATTTCAAGTGTTAACCTCTCTTCATTCTTTCTAGAATGAATCATGGTATAGATAATGTGTTCCTTTACTGCAGAACCTTTTGTATAAACCTGGAAGTAAAACATATGTATCAAATAAATATCTGAAATGTTCCAGAAGACTTCTGCATGCAGAATCACTTAATGAAAAATAAAATTCTTACTCCGACACCTTGCATGATGTGAACAGAAAAGTCATGTTATAGAAACTGCTTGACTGGCTTTGAGATAAATTACCCGCCCTTGTAACCAGAACTGTAGTGAGAAAAGATATGTGCAGCCTTTAAACCTATTAAGAGGGTTCATCTACTCTGTGCCATATAAAGGGCTAAAGGTTATTTTTTCCAGCGTGTTGGCACTGGTGACCAGATTGTAGTTTGGAGTCATTGACATCAGCTTCCTCCTCATAAGGCAGCAGAGCTGTCCTTTATTACTAATTAGCACAAGCAATGAGTATATATGATGTGTGACTGACAGCACAAGACAAACACAGTTTAGTTCCCTTTCAGAAGAACTGAAGAAATTAAACTTAATGTACACCTTGTTTATAGGATCTCCCTACCCCATGCTGAAAGGTTATTTGCATTCAAGTGAACTTGACTGAGCAAACTGCTATTGACTTTGCACTGGTGTAGATGACTGGAGTAGCAGATGATCACATCTTTATCCCTTTGCACAGTAATTATTTTTTTTTAAAGACAATGAAATAAAGTGCATGTATCCCATTGCAGAATATTCTTGGAAGCTTGAGTGTCAGCTCCCCTCTGACATAGTTTGTAGGTCTACTGAGGGTGTCTTAACGAGTGCCACTTCAGAGCATCTGTATGCATGTCTTTTCCATACGAAGCCTGGGCCAGGGACAAAGACCTAGTAAGGTGTAAAAGGATCATGCTGCTACTTACGGTTGTTTTTTCCAGGCAATGCAGCAGGTGGTGATGTTGGCTTTCAATTAAGGAGGTGCCTTTAGTCATATGCTGTTCATCTTCCGTGGATCCCTGAATAGCCAGAAAAAGGGTGGGGAAAAAAACAAAACCCAAACCAGGTGTAAAGCCGTGAAAGCAAACAAAGCTACCAGCATCAGCTTTCACAGGGATAAAGATCACAATTTCAGCATTGCCAGCTCTCAGGTTTTTCTCATGACTCTTACAAGGTTACCTCATTTTTTTCCTTAATGATGTGGCTTGTAAACTCAGGTGAGGAACTCAGCTTTGATTCAAAACCAGTGTGTTTCTAGCTATTTTGTAGCTGGGGAGGAGACTTGTGAAGTACTGGGGATATATGGTGTCAAGGCTCAGGAACCAGAAGGTAAAGAAAAAAATAACTTTTGCTGTTTTATTTTTCAAAAAAACCTTGAGATTTTTAATCTTGACATGACCTTTGAATGCCAACAGATGTATCCTGAGCTCTAGTCTCTGTTAGGAGACAAAACACAAGCTGTCATTCTTTTGCTTAAGCTGAAAGCCTGGCTCTGCCTGACCTTCAGGGCCACTCAGTGCTGGGCCTGTTGGAACTTGCATGTGTTATTGCCAAAGCCTCCTGAGTCATGGCTGCACGCCAGACCAAAAAATGTGACTCCAGGCTTCATGTCTTGGACTTTGCAATGCTGTTTCTAGAGCCAGGACTCCTGGATCTGTCTCTCCTCTTCATGGACATCACCAATTGTTTCCCACACTTTGTACCTGCAATATGTTAAAAGGGGGCTGCTCTTTCCCCTCAGTGTGTATGGTTGTTGGTGAGGAGTTTATAGTAGTGGGTCCTGAGGGCTGGGTTTGGTGTGAACTGAAGTTCTGTAACCCCTCCTGTGGCCAAACCCTCTTTGAAAGGCAGGGAGGAACAGGCAGATGCTTTGTAGGTAAGAGTTAATCTATATAAATCATCCTATTCAAGCACTGTGCAGCAGTGGCAAAGGGTTTATGTTTACATGAAATGTGGCAGCAGTTCCCCAGGAGAAGGAAGGTACCATCTTCATTAGTTTCTTATGGATTGTGGCTTTCACTTAGTAGGATGGCTTACTGTGATTTATGTTTTGGTAACATAGTGCCTAGCAGTCTTGCAAACTGACCCAGAACCCTCTGTGCATCACTTAGCACAAAAACAGAACAAGGCAAGCCTGTTCCAAGGACCTCACGATCCAGATACTTGACTCATTGTACGGTAATACCTGTACAATCGGGGACCAGCTTTCCCGATTTCCTCTGCATGCTCAAACTGCTGAAATGTGGCTAACAAATTTGTAAGCTAATTCAGAGAGCAGGGTGTGCTTAGAGTCAAGCAGGCAGCCTGTGCCAGCTGGGAAGGGATTGGGTACAACTGGGAGTACTTGGGTCAAGAAAACCCCCCAAATATTAAAAGGAGTGGTCCCTCCTAGGAAGATATGGGAAGAGTTGGGGGGTGTGAACTGCTTTTGGCATGCCTATTTAGGGACTCTGGGTTGGAAAGACTTATTGGGGCACTTCTGCTGGTCTGTTCTCAGCTTCTGCATCAGGTATGTGTGCATGTGATGATTTGGGGAAGAGGCTGCTCAGACTGCAGCATTATTAGTGGTTCGGATAAGCTAGAGATTTGAGACCAATCTCTGTGCTTTTGTTAAGCTGAGGGTCTTGATTTGCTTGAAGCAGCTGAAATAGGAATGGATAAGAGGTTAGGAGCCTGAGTTCAGTATGTGTGTAACGTTTAGCTCATGCAGAAGGCTTGGCCTCAAGCATTCATCAAAAGAGCAACAGGCCAATTTAGTCAACTTGGGGGTGTGTGGGGAAATCCAGTATTCTGTATTTTTGATTTCCACACTGTATCAGCGAATGCTTGCATTCCTCAAAATATAGCATGTCACTTACCCTATGATCTGATGATCAGATACACCTCAGGAATGGAAGGAGAAGAAGCAATAGGGGTTGTTTAGGGAGTTTCTGTGCTATTTGAGAGCCAGGATTATTTTTCTCACTTTCTCTGTTCTGTGGTGGCAGATTTAAGATTTGGGTTGTTAAGGATGTTCTCTTGCTACTACTACTTAAGCTCCTTATCTTGAAATTCATTGTGATTTCATGACACATTAATCTACGTGTGTCTTTGATGACTAACATTTTCAAAGACAATTACATGCATTAAAATGGCAATTAGGCATTGTAAAATGTTTCCCTGTGCTCCATAAGTAAGGGGTGCCTGGTGTCTTCTGTAATGCCTAAATCTGAAAGTCAGAAATTGATGTGCATGGCTTGAATCTCTGCTTAGACACAAAACAGCAGTATCTAACTGTTCAAGAGAGAAAATGGGTGGGGTGGGAGATGCAGCAGAACATCTTTGCAGATGTGCCAAGACATTGTCTGTTGCTCTCAAGGGGGTCAAATTCAACTATGCTTAAAGCATTGCTTTTAAGTACACCCTTGTGTCCCAGTGATTCACTGCAAATGCATGTTCTGGATGCCATTTCCAGGATGATTCTGTGATCCTTAAGTGAAGGAATAACTCTGTCTCTGACAGATGCCAAAACATAGCTGAACTGGTACATTAAGAAAGCTGACTTACTGTACACAGAATTAATAGATTCCTATGGGAATGCATCTTAGGCAGGTTATGTTTTTTTTTTGTTGCTGTTGTTTTGGAAGATGAGCATTCCCAGAAGTATTTTTAGATGTGGCCTAAAAAAAAATCAGTTCCATTTTTCTTACTAACAATCCTCTTGGTGAGCTAACACGTCAAGCAGGTCCTGTTCGTGCCCTGCTGAGACTACTGACTCCGCTGAAGTCTGTGTTGGAATATTTCCCGCGGAGGTCCTTGCAAGCCCTAAAGCAGATATGAAGCTGCACTAAAACACTGGAAAAGGAGAGAGAAAGAGCACATATTGCAAACAGTATATTTTTTATGAGGGTTTGCTTGAGAGGAGATCCAAATGGAATCTGAAAGCAGATAGAGCTTCTATACCTCTGGCAGAAGACCTAAGCCAATTGTAAAATTTCCAGCACAGCTTAGTCTCTCCCTCTGCCTTCCATCACAAGGCTAGGCTTGCCACTGATGGGAATGGAACAAGGGATGGCAGTGACCAGGAATAAAGTGTAGCATCAGTGAGTATGGCTTGTACCTTATCTTCCTTTGGCTTTTTCTTCAGTCAGCTCAGTGTTTTCAGAAACAAAGAGCATGCAACCACCGAGAACATCCTAGCATGCAAATTAAGAATGTGATCTGCAGGAACTATGGCTCTAGGAAACTGAGAGTGACAACATCACAGAAATGTTTGGCATTTTGATAGTACTGTTGAGGAATATGTACCTATAGAGATTGCATCAGTGGTACCTACATTGCTGCAGGCAAACAAAATCTGTGTCTTCATTAGAAGACTCTGGCTGTGATGAAAAAGCTGGGAGGGGGGAAGGAGAGGAGATGGATTTTTTTTTTTTTTTTTTTTTTTTTTTTTTTTTTTTTGGGGTGCCGGTTTTGAGCTGGGATGCCAGTTCTGCAAGGATTTGATGCCAACTACCATTCAGTTTGTTCTTGGAAGACATTCAGTGAACTGCTGGTTGCTTGGAGGGAGACTGAAACACATTGTAGTGTCAGTTCTGAAATCCAAAATACTTCCACTTTACCTCATCTACTTAGTGCTTCAGCATGCAAAATTGGACACTGGTGAACTGAGATGAACTAGTTCAGTGGTTAGACTGTCCCTTCCCATGAGAATGGCTATAACGCTTATCTATGGCTAAGCAGATTCTGCTTGTGAAAAGGCACAACACCTCACAACCTACTGTTCCTAGGGTATACTCCTTCTAGCATTTTAGCTAGAAGGGAATTTCAGCTAGCTGTACAAGGAGATTAATGCTAAGAGGATATGTAGGCTGCTGCTATGGGAAGAAGCTCACCATCCCTTGAGCACTTCTGACATAAAGCCTACTAAAAATCTTTCTAAATTAGAAGGAAACAATCTGAGTACTTTGTGTCTAGATGGCAAATGCAAAATGCCACAAGTCCACATGTTTCTGAGGCAAAAGTCTGTATTCTTGCTAGGAGCAGAACTCCTTCCTGCTGCTGTCCTTGGATAAATCCTTTCCTATGCTTTTTCATTGCTTTGATACAAGGCTACAGGCTGAAGACATGCTGTTCCCTTGAAAGATGGTGTCAGTGTATTCATTCTGGTGCTAATGAAAGGACATTCTGGCACATGTTGTGGAATCTTGAACAGTCCTTATTTCCCAATTTATTAGTTTGGCTGCAGAGCCACAGCCAGGGTACATTCTGGGGCAGTTGTTTTCCTTGGGTGAACCCTCCAGGTGTCAGACTGCAGGACAATCTGCTGGGCACTTGTAAAACAATTATACATTGATCACAGTACTGTGTGATTGCTAATGATGAAAGTGGTAATATCTAGTCATGGCCGTATAATAATTGCAGTGGTAATTACCGCTGGGTAACAAACCAGCCCTATGGCAATCTGGCCATGTGAAGTCCATTAAAGTTAGCATGACTCCTGGGCAAGGTATCAAAATGGGATGTGTACCTGCCCGATGAAGCAGTTTGATACTAATTTGACTGACGGATATGCACAGTATGTAGCTAAAAAATATTTTGGTCCCTAATATATCAACTACAGAAGTCACATTCCTTCATATTCTTACAGCTTAAAAAATTTGGCTGGCTAGACTATGCTGTCATTCACATTTTGTACTCTTAAGAATAGTTTGTTCTCCTGCCATAAAATGAAAGGACATAAAATCTTGCCTTGTGAAGTTAAAACCATCATGTATACCTTTACAACAAAGCATAATCTGCAGTTCTGTATTTAATTAATGCCACTACCTGTAGATGGAGAGACGTGTCTTCTTGATTCAGGTATGTGGCTAGTCCTCAGGTAGTCAAAGATCATTTCCTGGTGGCTGTGCAGATGCCAGGCATGGCTTTGGCAGGTTTCTATAGTGAACTATATTCCTGTATGTCACAGGTGGATGGTAATTCTTCCTTCCTCATAACCTTTGCTTTTGACTATTTCAACAGGAAGTTCCTTAGGGTGGGGATATTTTCTTACAAAGTATTAATACAATGCACACAAAAGTCAGTGCTTTTCAAAGTAGGAGTGGATCTTACTGGTCTGTGGGGGAGGCACGTTAGCATTTCGAGCTGTAAGTCCACCAGAAAGCAAGTTGTACCCAGAAGAGCTTGGGAAGACCTGCTCTAGGTGCTACTATATATCTAAATTTAGTTATTGATGAGGAAAAAAATCCTCTTTAAAAATGTTTTTCTTTTCCTTCCTGTGTCTACAGTAGCTTTGTAGCCAACAAAATGACCCTTCTTCCATTTATTTTTGGGCAAGTGCCAGGAAATGAACCTATTCAGCCAAATATTTCTCTCAACCTCATGCATTTTGGACTTAAGCATTGGTGTGTCAGCTGCTCTTCTGTGAGTGGTCTTGGCAGGGAGTTTTGGTTGATAAGGGAAGTGAGGAGATTCTTGTTGGGATGACAGGCTGGAAGATCACGTGCAAACTGAGTGTCCCCGCTAAGCTCTTCTGGCACTTTTAAAAACTAGAAATCTAAAGCTCAAAAGGAAGTTTTAAATTTGTAGTAAAATTTTTGCATGTTCCTGGGTAATGAAATAGTGGAATCTCAGCTGAGCTGGCATCCCAGTCCTGAGCCTTTCGTTTATAGGGATAAGGCTGTGGACTAGGTGCGACCAGCGTTCCTGGTCTCTTCTTGATAAAGAAACTTTTCTTGAACTGCTCAACAGCAACATATGGTTCAAGAAACAGATTTTCTGAGTGTCACTACCATTTGCAGAGCAGGAGACAACGTTAGATGTGTAGTCAGAGGGATAAAACTTGTTTTGGAGGGGAGAACAGAAACTAATCTGGGCATCCTACCTTCCAAATCCGTACTTCATGTGAAGTGCATTTGTAGAATCAGTTTAAGAACTATTGCAGTTATAAAGGGCCAGATTCCTCTACCTTGGTCTGCACTGAGCAACATCCTATGTGCAAAATATGGTGCTACACAATTACCCTCTGTGTGCTGTACCCACTGAGCTTGGGTAAGAGTGGGCTGGGGTCCTAGTGAGCAGCTTTCACCATGAGCTGAAAAGGTTTTTCAGCTTTGATTTTACAAATGCAAAGTTGTGTGCCAGGGAAAATAGTATACATTTGAAGGATTAGGCCCCAAGTAAGGATGCGAGAACAAGTGCTAGGCGGCTCTGGTGGCTCTATTAAGCATTCTTCATCTCGCTCTTTGCTCCCCACGTGTACAAAAGGCTGATTTATTTGAAATGAAATCCATGAAATGTGTTAATACCTGCTCTGCTGTTGATCAGGCTTAATGTAATAACCTCCTCTTATTTTCGCTGATTCTGCTGAGCAATCTGACGCACTTAAAACTTTTCTTCTCCTGAATAACTAGTATTAGTCTCTAGAGGCCTTTCTGTTAAAAATAAACCCGGCACCAAACTGCCTGAAACAGGAGCTAGGGAATATTTTCCTGTCCTGTTGGGTGTGATCAGGTAGTCCATGTTAGAGACACTTAAAAATAAATAACTGTATGTTGGAAGAGAGTGGATATTTATAGTATGGGCAAAGCCTGGACCGTATAAATTGGTACAGCTTCAACAGCTCCATCATGCAGAGGGATTCGAGGGAACTGTGAACCTGGTTGTTGCTGGAAGGCCAGATCCTTTCCTAGCTCAAGGAGGAGCCCAAGGAAGCTTTTTCCTCCCATCCAGTCTCGCAGCTGGATTCCAGCTGTCCCTCCACATGGCACACGCAGTAGATGAGTGTCATCGCAGCGCAGCACCGTTCCGTGGGTGAGGCTGCCACGCTGGATGATGAGCGATTGGGTGGCAACGGGGAGAGAAAGGGAGGGAGCCCAGGGAGAGGCGTGGGAATAGGGAACTTCTAAACTCTGTGGAAGGAGATGCTGTCTCTGAACTCACCGTCAGCTCGAGGGCTTCATTCAGGAGGCCGTTGCGCTTGCTGTGAAGGTAAGCGTTGGAGCTGCCTGTTTTGGCCACTCGAATCCTCGCAAGCCGGGCTTTCTGTGAAGAAGGCAAACAAGCTGAAGTTAGAGCTTGGCACGCCGAGGGATTGGCCCTGTGCTGGATTACCAGGAGGAAGGAAATTTCAGGGTCTTGGTCCACCTGAAAAAGCCTGGGAGTGAAATACAAGGAGCGTGCAGACAGGACAAGGTGCCGTTCAGAACAGCTAGCCCAGGTCTGTCTCCAGGAGTCGGATGAGTGCATATGTCTGAAGAACATCATCTGCCACAGAGTGTTAATAGCCTTCCCACAGATAAGAAGTGAGGTACTGCGGATTTGTTTACCTTTCAAAAGTTAATAGTCATTTTTTGGTGGTGAGGTGCACAGGAACTAGAGCCACTTGTCTTGAACATATTCCTGGCACAGGATGACTGTATGTATGTCAGCTAGCAGTGTGCACATGCTCTGCACGCGTGCTGCTTTCATGGCTCACCTTCTCTCTAACGTGCTCGGTTGTTTAATCCTCTCCATCGTTCAGCTCTGTGCTGTGACATCCGTGTTGTTGCTTGCCCTGCTTGTACTGCAGCTAGCACAGTGATGCCCGGTCCTCTGCGCTGGCGGGCTGTCCTCCGCAGCAGCAGTGCTAGTTTATTAACTTTGCTATCTGATAATGTAAAACTCTGTCCACAAACGCGCATCTCTTGACAAACTGACAGAAGTCACTCTGCAACAACACAGACATCCAACTCTTCTCATTTTTTATTTATTCCTGACCTTCTTGACTTCCAGGGAGACAAGTTAGATGATAACAAGCAGTCCAGAGTAAAGCAAACAAGAACAACTAAGGCCCTCTTCCTTTTTGATCACACAGTTTTTAGCATTTCAGTTTTTCTTTTCAATTGTTCCCTGCTTCTCTGTCAAGTGCTGATTTGCCTTTTTCTTTTCTACTGTTAATTTATGACTCAAACACCATTAAAAGTAAATACATGAAATAGCTATGGCTATTAAAAAATAATTACATTGTGCTGTAGTTTCAAATGCTGTATAATCTTTTAAATAACGTGGAACTCGTGATTTTCCTCTCTAATTAGAGGTGCTAATGCATATACACTGTAGGAACAGTAAAGCCAAGAGGCAAATATCTGCAGTGGATCCAGAGAGTGTAATAATTCCAGGAACTCTATTACTGTACATGCCTGAGTGACTCTGGCCCTCAATATTTGAAAGATTTGTTTAACCTTAAGAGCTTCTGCCTAAGCAGACCATTTCTCAGGAAAAGATGTGTACAGGGTACTAGTTTGCAGCTTTAATTGGGTGACACAGGCTATGACCAGTCTGAAAAATAGGTCTTCTTTTGACACCCTATAATGGGGACATCCAAAATTGACTTCTTTTCTATACTTCACCTAGATTGCATTGTCCCATTTTAATGTTAAGACCACAAGTCAGTATATGAGAGAGGAATTTCTGATGCAAATTACTCTGTACAGGGGCCAAGGTATCTCAGAGGGCCATCTGGTCACCCTGTGAAAGGGACACAAGTTGTATCCTCAGTCTGTCTTGCAAACACAACAAGAAGATTAAATTGGATCTTCAGTTTTTCTGAAGACTTTCCTAAACTGCTGTGTTGCTCTAGGCCCTGAGTAAGACTGGCCTGAGACTGTAACCTGCAACAAAATACACAGACTACTACTACTGAATGTGAGTTAGAGGGAGAGGGCAGGGGATAAGTGACTGAAGGATATTCCATTTCCAGGTTACATGGCACTTTCTCTCTGTTCCTGTTAATTAAATTTCCATTAAATTATATCTTCTATCTGCAAAAATATGCTTTTGTGTCTTTCATCCTTACTTTTCGCAATGATCTTATCTCTTCTGTAATCAGCACTGGATATTGGATCCAGTGATGGTCTTTACAGTGAGGCTCTGATGGCAACCACAGAAGGCATCCATTTCTTTCTGTGCTTGATGAAATATCAGCTCCTTTGCGGAAGGAAATACCAGAGTCCCCCAACTTGCTCACCTCACCTATAGCAGGAAAGGTTTCATCCTCATCTTCAGTTCAGTAAATTGTTAAAGTGAATTCAGTCTTATGCTCTTGTAATGAACATTATTCCCTTTGCCTCCAGGCTAGCAGGGGATCAAATATTAATAGCTGTACTCCACGTGGACTGAAGATGGTTCGTTTCTGAGGTCTGTTCTCTTTTCTTCTCTGAAATAGGGCCACTAGCTATCTAAATAATTAAGCCCCATAGCTTTTGTAGCGTAGAACAGACGTTGTTATTTTAAAAAATGTCAGTGGGGCAGGACAGAAGTTAATCCTATTCTCCTTACACAAAAGATTGTCTAGAATAGTCACATTGCCTAACTCTGTGTCCCCATCATGATTAAATTTGGTAGATATCTTGATTAACTCAGCTAGAGAAGTTAATTAAAATTGGTGCCTAAAATTGGTTTGGCCCTCCAGACAGTTTCCCAGACTAGAAACAACTCTAAAACCATAGTTCATATTTTTATGTGAAAGTCTGGGTATAACGTGCATTATTTGGAAAGCACATCTGTCGAGTGACACAAGCTTTACATGGTATTTAGGTACATGTCGTATGTTTACGTGGGGTGCAGTACTTCGATCGTGCCTGGCTGTAAGAAAGGGTTTAAGTGCAGCAAAGCACTCGCCTCTGACCTCTGCAGCAGAGGTTGGACACAGGTTTGTATGACGGAGCGACGTGGATTGAGGACGTGAAGGGCACCCGGCAGCACTGCCGGGCTCGGGTTACGGTGTGGGAGCAGGTAAAAGCTGGCCGTTCCAGAGGAGTTCTGCGTTACCTGTTGGAATGCATCAGCCTGGCCTTGGCCACTGGCAGAGCTGTGCTTTGGCGGGTCAGGTGAGGAGTACATTAGAGAGGCAAAAGCCTTGAACTTAGGGCACCCCACGCACGCTTTGAAGCAGCAGTATTTTGCAGGGAACCGTACTATGTATTCTCACCTCCAGAATTAGGCTGATGGGGTCTTCCAAATTCTGCCAGTTTTTAACATGTGTGGGCATGTTTTTGTCATCCCTGTCCTGCAGAGCTCAGTGCTTCGGGTCTGCAGGACAGAAGACAGACAAATGAGGACCACGTTTTTTCTGGCCATCTGCTGCAGATGTCTTTTGGGAGGGGGAGACAGCTGTCTTCTGCATCTTATCCTACAAATGTGACAGACTGAAGGTCATTAGGGCCAGGCCTGAGATCACTGTTGCTGAATATAACCCCTGCATGGAGAGTCTATAAAAGGAAAAGAAAACGGCACATTGTGTCTGCATGTAGAGTGGTAAGAGGAGTTGCTAGGAAACCACAGGATCTCAAAATGCATATGACCTAATCTGCAAGATCATTTATATGATGAAAATAATAATACTAATGACAGCCACTTACAGGTTAGAATGATTAATTTGGTTATCTTGGAGCCCACGTGTTTCTGAGAGCGGGATGGAAGGCAGGTCTCAATAACTTCTGGCTCTTCACTGCTTTTTAAGAAAGTGGAGGCTCAGAATAAGCAGGAAGGGCAGTGAAGCCCTGTACACATGGAGTGCTGACGTGTGGTGGGGAGGATGATGTAAGTGGCTGTCAGCATCCTGGGTATCTACATTTCCCAAAGGGACTGACAAAGGAGAAAGAATAGCCTGTCTTCATCTTTTAGCTGCTTTGCAGAAGTACCAGGAGCAGGAGTTGCTGGCTAGGAAAAATGCTTACCAGATGGCACGCCCAGGAAACAGCTAGTTATTATTTATTAATGATTTTTCTCTAGTTCTTATGGAGATAATGCTCACTCTTGATTTATGTGGTATAATAAACTATTAAGTTACAACCTATGACATAATTTCATATTTGCCAGACATCTTTAGCTTTCCAGATCTCCTGTACTTGAGCAAGAAGATGACTGGAGTACATGTATGTCAGGTACTACATGTATGGGTCCTATGTCCGCTCCTGCTCCCTCTTGGGGCTGGAGCACTATCCTTCTCAGAATGGCTGAGGTTGGAAGAGACTGCTGGAGTCATCTGGTAGGTCATCTGTTCCAATCCCCCTGCTCAGGCAGGGCCACGTAGACCCAGTTGCCCAGTACTGTGTCCAGGTGGCTTTTGAATATCTCCAAGCATGGAAACTCCACAACCTCCCTGGGCAACCTGTGCTAGTGCTTGGTCACTCTCACGCTGAAAAAGTGTTTTCTGATGTTTAGATGGAGGCTCGTGTGTTTCAGTTTGTGCCCATCACCTCTGGTCCCGTCACTGGGCACCACTGGAAGGAGCCTGACTCTGTCCTCTTTGCACTCTCCCTTCAGGTATTTATATACATTAATAAGATCCCTCTGAGCCTTCTCTTCTTTAGGCTAAACAGTCCCATTTCTCTCAGCCTTTCCTCATATGAGAGATGCTCCAGTCCATATCCTATCTAACTCTATCTGCTAAAACCACACTAAGAGCATTCCTAGCAGAAAATGCAGCTATGCTACATAATTAACAGTGCTTCAAAGTTTAATTCCTAAACAATTAGTACTTTGAATATGAGTAGACCTATTGGTGACTGCTGCAGTGAGTCCAGTGGTGCAGTAGGTGTCTACCACCAGTCTTCTAAGGCTGAAATGAAGCTGTTCTCAAAAGTAATCAACAGAGTACTTTTGGTCTGATTTTTATTTCCGAGGTAAAATACCAGAGCCACTAAGTGCATGTTCGATTTTGTTGCCTTTGTCTGCATCTGTTGTTAGTTTGGGTCTGGATTTAATTCTAGATGGAAAGAACATGGTCAATTTTAGGCTATGAAAAAGGTAACAAGCAGGTTGTGCTCTTAAACAAGAGTTTCTGCAGACTTATCAATGGGGCTTAGAGTGTGGAATGACATAAAAGTATTTTCTTGTAGTTACATTTTCACCTTCCTGAAATGGTCTCATCTGTGGTACCTTTGACTAATTTTAGCATAAAATTCATAAAGGAATTCAACAAAACCTTCAATTTGTACTTCTGAGTGGGAACTCAGTGCACGTACATGACTTGGAAAGGATGAAACCTTCATGTGGTGGAA